CCCCCCTTGCTCCTCCAGACCCCCCTCCCCCCGCCCCTCACCTTGTGCTGGGGCTGCCGGCTGCGCCGGGGCAGGGCTTGATGCTGCAGGAGCCGCATGGCGCTGCGCTGGCGCCGCAGACGCCCCTTCCGCCCGTTGGGGAGCCCGCTGGAATGCTCCAGGCAGTCCGGGGGGGCCTCGGGGCGCAGCGCTCCCTGCAACGGGCCAGGGTCAGACTGGCAGACTGCCGGGGGACCTCTGGGGGATGAGGAGTCGCCGGGGGACCTCTGGGGGTGGGGAGTCGCCGGGGGGACTGATGAGGGGGCAGGAGGTTGCCGAGGGGGCCTGGGGTTAGTCCGAGGAGACCCCCTGACTGTGGCAGGCTCTGGCTGGCCAGAGGGACGCTGACGCCCGGCTGCGCAGTGTAGCTGGTGCTGGGTCCTGTTGCTCAGTGAGGGGCACAACCCCCGGCCCAGACCCCAGCCTGGCACCAGAGACTGTGCCCCAGAGCCACGGAACTGCACTCGGGAGGGGTCCTGAGCCCTGTGGCCCCGGGACCCTGCACGCTGCCCCTCCCGGGCCCCCATGTACTGCCCCCCCTCGGCCCCGGGCCCCTGCACGCTGCCGCCCCGGGACCCTGCCCCCTGCCCCCCTGGGACTCCCACGCCCTGCCCCCCCTCAGCCCCGGGACCCTGCACGCTGCCCCCCCTGGGCTCCCACGTGGTGCCTCCCTTGGCCCCGGGACCCTGCACACTGCCCCCCTCGGCCCCGGGACCCTGCCCCCTGCTCCCCCCCAGCCCCGGGACCTGCGGCAGCCCAGCGTCTGGTGCCCGCACTCACCGGCAGCTTGGGGTGGGTGGGTGCGTGGCCTGTGGCATGCTCCGCCTCGTAGCTGTAGTAGTCCAGGGGTGCACAGAAGTAGCCGGGTTGCACCTGGTCACATTGGCGCCCGATGAGGTGGGGCCGGCAGGGGCACTGCCCGTCCTCCATGGAGCACCTGGGGGCGGCACAAGCCCTGTCCGTCCTGGGCTAAGGAAGCCTGCTCTACCCTGTCCGTGTGTCTGTCCAGGGCAGGGGTCGTGGGGAGGGGCCAGCCTGTTACCGACCAGCCCTGAGCGCCCTGGTTCCACCACCAGCTCCCCACAGCTTGTGTCCCACCCCCGGGGTGATGAACTGGGCATGTTCTTACTGTCTCCTCCGAACACTGTGCGTGCCTCAGTTTCCCCTGTGTGTTACTCAGGTATCTGGGTGGTGGGACAAGGGGGGGTGATCTTTGCAGTGACCCCTAGAGGCCAGGTGTGGCTGCGACACTCGTAGCCTGGCAGCTGATGGCCGGGCCCCCTCCTCTGCCAGGATCAGCCTGGGGGGTTGGTGCAGCCCGGGAACAGAAAGGAAGGAGGAGGGGCAAGGGGCGTGAGGGAGGGTTGCCAACTCTCCAGGGTTGGCCTGGAGTCTCCCGAATCGGCATCGGTCTCCCGGTGACTATTGCAAGTCATCCGGCAGTTCTACGCCGCGGCCCCGCCGACTCGCCCGTCTGTCACCCGCCGGCTGGGGGTCGCTGCAGCTAGAGATCGGGGAGGGGCTGGGGGTCCAGGGCAAAGCCAGGCTGCTGGAGGCTCAGAGGTGCGGTTCCAGGAGGCGGAGGGGCCTACGACTTAACCCCCGACAAGGGGGGTCGCGCTGAGGGGGGTCCTCCCAGGGGCCGTACGGGGCTGAGAGAGCCCGGGCCCTGGGAGTGCCTGACACCCGGCACCCCTGCCCCATGCCCCTCCCCCCAGTCATGGCACTGCCAGTGGGCCCCCCCGCCCCCGGCCGTGGTACCGCCTCCTTCCCCCCAGCTGTGGTACCGCCCCCTTCCCAACCCCAGCCATGGCACCGCCCCCTTGCCCCCTCCCCCGGCCATGGTACCGCCCCCTTCCCCCCAGCTGTGGTACCGCCCCCTTCCCCCCCAGCCATGGTACTGCCCCTTCCACCACCACCCCGCCGTGGTACCGCCCCCTTCCCCCACCCCAGCCGTGGTACCTCCCCCTTCCCCTCCCCCGGCCATGGTACCGTTCCCGTGCCCCTCCCCCAGCGTGGCACCTGCCTACCTGTTGCTGTAGGTGCCCCCGAAGTCGCAGGCACAGGGCCGGCAGCCAGCCATGTCGTTGCTCAGGCCCCAGAACTCGGGCTGTGGGGAGAGTCGGGTCAGACACTGCATGGGTCACGCTGGGGGCCGGGGAGGGGCAGGGCACGGGGCACTCACCAGGCACTGGTTGCAGTACCGGCCGCTGACAAAGCGCTTGCAGTAGCAGTCTCCACTGATGTGGTCACAGGGGGGGCTGCCCGCGATGATGCCCCGAGGGTCACACCTGCAGGCTGGGCACAGACACAGCAGCTGACCCACAGCCCCCATGAATATCCCAACCCCACCCTCGTGCGAGGCCTGGCACACCCAGCTCTGGGGATGCCGAGCCGGATCCTGCCCGGTGCCCGAGGGGTGGTCCCACGCAGCACATGGGGCCCTGCCCACCAGCGGCTGCCCCGAGGAGCCACGTCCCCTGCATAGGGGCTGGAACTAGGGGGCTGGGGGGGCTGCCGCATCTGCTGGCGTGACGGGGTTTCCATCATATCCAGGGTTGGTAGTTTGGTTCCATGGCTCAGTCGTCCCCCTGCCCCTCGTCCCCCCCTCCCGCCGTACACATTGCTCCAGCGCCCCGGTCTCCTGTTTGGGACTCGTGGGGAGTCCAGGGGGAAGCAGGCCCTGGGTCCCCCCAAGCTGGACTTTGCTGCAGCTGCCTGCTCCCTGTGCCTGTGTCACACGCTGGCTGCAGAGTGGGGGGCAGGGCCCTTTGGGGGCAACTGAGGCTCCCCAGGGGGACTTGCTGCAGGGAGCGAACGGGGTGACCAGGGGGCTGAACGCTCCGAGGTCAGACCCAGGAAGCGCCGAAGCCGAGCAGGCTCCTGGCCCTGGTGAGTGTGGCCCTGAGGGGAGACGCTGCCCCGAGTCCTGCCTGGCTTCACTCAGAGCGGTGCCAAGGCCGTGCCCACACTCACGCTGGCAGCCCTGCGGGTCGGTGTGGCTCAGCCCGTAGAAGGCCTCCTTGCAGCTGTCGCAGCGCACGCCCTGGACGTGTTCCTTGCAGCGGCACTGCCCGGCGATCATGCCCAGCGCCACGTCCGTGTGGCTGTCGCACACCCCGCCATCCAGGGAGCCCACCGGGTCACAGTCACAGGCTGCCAGCAGAGGGGAAGAGAGCGGGAGTCGCATGCCAGGAGCCAGCTCTGTGCCCTGTCCGGACGCCAGTGACCGAAGCAGGTGGCACTGCCAGGGCAGCCAGGATCGGCCATGCCGGGCAGGGCGGGGCAGGAACAGGGGAGCTACAGTCGGTGGGATGGGGAGGGCAGCCAAGTGCCTCAGCACAGCCAAACCCCCGGGCACACGCCCAGGCCAGGGAGTGCAGCGTGGGGGCTGCCCGCAGAGGGGCTGCGGCTCGGCGTGAGCCCCCCGCACAGCACTGTAGCCAAAGGGCTCACGCGCTCCCTGGCCGCATCCCGGGGCTGTGACCAACATGGGCGATATGTGCCTCAGTTTCCCCAGGCGTCGCCCTGCCGCACTGAGCGCCACATGAGGTGTGGGCCACGCAGCTGTCTGGGGAGCCGCACGGGGCAGCGAGGGCTAGGGGGACCCAACCGACAATGGGAACCCCAAGGACCCCACACTTCACCCGTGAGGCTGCCGACGGAGAATGAGGGGGCGGTGCCAGGCGAGCGTGGAGAACAGGGCTCTGCGACCCAGGGCAGCCCCTGGCACTGAGACACGGGACAGCCGAAGAAGGAGGCCGAGATGGGCTGGCCAGGCTGGGCTCCGGCTGCCCCTTCGCTGCTCTCTGCAGAGCCAGGACTGGAGCCCAGCACCGGCTGCGCGGCACAGGGGGATGCTCCGCGCAGGGGCCTGGCTGGGCAGAGCTCCCGGGGGCGGCAGGGGCTGCAGCTCGGTCTCGGAGGCAGGGAGCGGCCAGCCTCAGCCTCACTACACACAGAGGTGACCCAGCCCGCTCCGACCTCTGGGCCCTGGGGAGCCCAGGAGCCGTGCAGTGCCCTGGCCTGCCCACGTGCCCGGGGGGGCACAGGCATGCGTCAGGGGGCCCGTCTGGGCTGGGAGCAGACCCGGGGACAGCACATGACTAGTGGGGGCCTGGTGAGCCCCTAGAGACCAAGGGCCGGGCATGGGCCGGTGACCCTGAGAGAGAGGATGCCCCCTCTGCGCTGTGGGCACCCGGCTGGTGCCAGCTCTAGCTTCAGAGGAAGGGGCGCAAAGCCCCGAGAACCCCGGGGGTGCCCCCCCCCCCCGCTGGAGGCTGCCCAGGCCCGTCCGCCGGGGCGCCGGGCACTCACGGACGCAGGCGGTGCTGGCCCGGATGTCGGCCCGTGGGCTGTGGTAGTAGAAGGGTTTGCAGAGCTGGCAGCTGCGGCCCATGGTGTTGTGCTGACAGTCGTCACAGACGCCCCCGCTGGTGTTGCCCGTGGCCAGGTACACGGCCATGTCGAAGTGGCACCGGCGCGAGTGCTGGTTACAGTTACACACTGCCAACAGATGGGTCAATTAACAACGGCCCGGGCACATCACCCCCTGGGCCCTGCCCCCCAGCTCACCCCGTGTCCCTGCCCCTGGGCCCTGCCCCCAGCTC